CCATCTTAGATCCCCAATGAGAATCTATCCTCCCATTTTATGTTAACCAAATCGATTTTTTCCTTTTTAGGAGTCATCTAAATCATGGACCCTCATCTTTGAACCATGCAGTTTGACTGGGTCTCAATCCCATCTCCTATCTTAGTTCCTAGAATAGATATGTGCCTGATCTAAACAAGTAATGCATCACCTTATATAACCCTGATCCAAGCCAGGCCACTCAGATTCAATCCTTGGACATAGAGGGGAAGAGGCAGACTGGGCTGATAGGGAGTCAAAGCTGATGATGTTCCTCATTGCCACAAATTAAGGAAAGCCAACTTGAGAAGGCAGCCAATAAAACTGATAGATGTAGAGAGTCAGCCACTCTTAATAATATTATTACAATGAGTCAGTGGGCACTCAAGACAATTCTTAGGTGCCAAGCATATAACCAATTTAGAAGAAACATCTAGTTTAATAAAGTAGGTATTGTCCCCACTTCACAGATAACAAAACTGAGGCACACAGAGATTAAGGAACTACCCCGTGATCCGTTACTTAGCAAATGGCAAAGCTGGAACTCACACTTCCTATCTCTGAGCCCCCTAACCTCTGGTCTGTACTGCCTCCCAATATATCTGATTTCTGAAGGGTGATATTGTGTTTTATAATATACCCTATACATGTAACTTGGTTTTGGAAGCAATTTGTATTTCTTAGAGGAATACTTACATTTATGTTAGCTATGGTAGTACTAACAGCAACCACTGAGATAGTATAAGAATAAGCTTTCATATTCTATAATTATTTTATAATTGCCAATGACTACTTTCAGGCAATAGTAATGCCACCCAAAATAAAGATATATCTCAAATGTACTAATTGATGAGGAAAATACGTCCATTGATCTTCATTTTTCTCTATGGGAAATGCTGTTACTACTCAGGGTGACAACTCAATTTAGCACTAGAAAGTTTCCTTGAGTCCCTTCCACACCCCCACAACCAGGCTCCAAGCTGAAATTATTAAAGGAGCTTCTTTGCATTACACCTTCTGAATAATCCCAGACATCCCCAAAGTTCCTATGTAATTTGAATTAACTGGTTTCCAGCAGTAGGTCTAACATATATTGCTTTGATTGACACCTTGTCTGCCAGTCCAGAAAGTTGAACAGAGTCAGAAAATACAGACCATGTGGACAGAGACCAAGAGATTTTCATTAATAGTCTTATGCACTGTGCAATTCACAAGGTCTCATGCCCTCTCTGGACAAAAACAACCGAGCTTAAAGAACACCCAGGGTCCATTTGCCAAGACCAGCCGGAGAGATACACATGCAGGCATGGTGGTCAAAAGAGCCTTGGGTTTTCTCTACTCATCTGCCTGAATGGGCCTGATTTCTAGGGCTCACTGCCCCAGGCCAGAAGAGAAGGCCAACAGGCAGAGGCTACAGAGTGCACTGGATTGGTAGGGCACAGATATTGGAGAGAGACAAGCTGTATTTGAATCCTGGCTGTGTCGCTTTCTGGCTGTGTAACCTTGGCTAAATTACTTAACCTCTTCATGCCACAGGTTCCCCATCTCTTAATGATGATAATGGAAAGCTTACTTCATAAAATTGTTATGGAGATTAAATAGCTTTGCATAAAGCTGATCACACTGTTAGGGCTTGAATGGGGAAGATGTACCTTTCTGTTTCCCAAGGCAGAGGGAGGGGTGCTGTTTATTCTACTTATCAGACAGATGGATTAGAATTCTTACACAACCATGTGTAAAGTTTTTATAAAGATGGTCCCGTTATGACATTTGGTTACAAGGGCTTCCATAAATAACCAGGCTTTCAGATAGAAGACCCTCATTCAAAGAATAGACAAGAATGGATTGCAATTAGCACCCGCTGAAGCAATGAGGGGGCCCATTCACCTCGTGATGCTGTGTGGAAACAAGACCTTCAGTGAGCCATGGAATATTGTGTACCATGTGCCACCTACATGGGAAATATTCTCATCTCTGTCCTTTTGCCTTGTCCAATTTTTTAGTCAATGCTTTTCTTTGTCCCTCTGGGTAGGAATACACTTCTATTCAGCGCTCTATGAATTGTAACTTTCTGCCTTCTAGTGCTGGGTTCACGTGGAGATATTTTCAGTACGTGGGAAGGGGGACCTGAGGAAAGGTTTGTCCCTCACACCTTCTCATTGGCAAAGCACCAACTCCATTTCTAGGTTAAAGTAGGACCACAGTCATGTAGGCCTTCACTTATTTTCCGAGGCCATTCTGTGCACATATAACACCAAGTGAAAGAGAGACTAAACAAACAAAAAGCCATGGCCACTCTTTACTAAAATGACTGTATAATTTCCAGGCAAAACACACAGAGGTGCAGTGTCTCAGGAATAAGGGACACAAAGAGCAAGAGACAAAGAGAAGTGAGGATCAGAGGAGGGAGACTCAGGGATCGCTAGGGCTGTGTTCCTGGAGAAGGGAGAGGCCCATGTGGACTCCAAAACAACTCTCACGCCACTCCTGAACAAGAAGAGGGGAATGGCTTCTAGGCACAAAAACCTGCTTCGGTTAAAAATGTCTTTCTTAAATATATTTTTATTGATTTCAGAGAGGAAGGGAGAAGAAGAGAGAGATAGCTACATCAATGATGAGAGATAATCATTGATCAGCTGCCTCCTGCACACCCCACACTGGGGAGTGAGCCCGCAACCCTGGAAACTGCCCTGACCAGGAATCGAACCATGACTTCCTGGCTCATAGGTCGATGCTGAACCACAGTTAGAGCCATGCCGGCTGGGCTATAGCTGTATTTTTATGATGGGGAAAAAGATATTCCACACAGAAGTCTCTATGTGTTATCTTTGACCAGTTTATTTGTAAATGGTTGTCTTTCATTTTTTCAGGCAGTTTCACACGCATTTTAAGAGATTTCTCTAATGCACGTCTCTGGCTTTCAACTCCCACAGGGGTTTTAGGGCCGTGTTTGAAAATGAGAAACAGAAAAATGCATTCCTCCTCGAAGTGCATGCAAGTCCAGAGGCTGATGGGAGGCAGTGTGATTTCAGGAGGCATGAAGGGAGACACCTGTCACTGTCCTATTCGCAGGAAGCTCCTTGGCTCCGGAAAGGTCATTGCCCCTGTGATTATGAATGACGTAACAAGGCATACTGACAATCTGCTCTGGGCTAGTGCTTTATAGCCCAGTTTATAGCAGCAAACGTCTGAAACAGCCTCAGTGGCTTTTCGATGGGCAGATTAGATATATCCGGGTAAGGAGTCACATCTTTTGGCAGGGTTAGGACGTAAATTCCAAGGAGTTTGTCATGTAATGTCAAATTACACTAGAATGTTTGTGTTTCTAGGCCATAGAAACACAAAAGCCAAAGGAGCTTGTGTTATTCCCCTTCTTGTCACCTGTAGTCAACATGGCCATGGAGGGAGGTCATCTCTAGTGTAATCAGGAAGATGGGCTCAGGTGGTTTAATAATACTTATATTACTTTCTCTGCCTCTTTTTCTTTTGCAGTTTGTCTCTCCCCTCCCCTCTCCTCACTTCCCCTTATCTTCTCTCTATCACATACATATTTCTCTTCCCCCTTGCACTCATCCGCCAATATACACAGTCTATTTTTGTACATTAAATAAGCCTAGACTTCACCTCCAATCTATATCCTTAGAGGAAAATGATACTTAACTATTAAAAAAAAATGATGACATGTATTGTTAATTGCATCCCCTCATACAAACAAAGAAAAAAGGCGCAGAACAGGGTGTGTAAGCTAACATTTATGTCAATGCAAATTTATGGCTAAATGTTTTTGCCCCCCTCAAATGCATATGTAGAAGCCCTAATCCCCTAAGTCAGCGGTTCTCAACCTCTGGGTTGCGACCCCTTTGGGGGTCAAACGACCCTTTCTCAGGGGTCGCCTAAGACCATCAGAAAACACATATATAATTACATATTGTTTTTGTGATTAATCACTATGCTTTAATTATGTTCAATTTGTAACAATGAAAATACATCTTGCATATCAGATATTTACATTACGATTCATAACAGTAGCAACATTACAGTTATGAAGTAGCAACGAAAATAATTTTATGGTTGGGTCACCACAACATGAGGAACTGTATTAAAAGGTCGTGGCATTAGGAAGGTTGAGAACCACTTCCCTAAGTAATAGTACCAGGAGATGAGGTCTTTGGGGGGTAAATAGGTTTAGATGAGGTCATGAGTGTGACATCTCTTGATGGGATTAGTGCTTTTATAAAGAGAGGAAGAGAGACCACAGTGCTCCCTCTCCTTCTTTCCATCCTGTGAGGACACAGAACCAAGGCACCCTCTGCAGTATCCTGCCATATTCTCTGAAACATTCTGGCCTTCACCAGGAAGAAAATATGTCGGCACTTCGATCTTGAACTTCCCAGCCTTTAGAACTCTGAGAAATCAATGTGTTGTTTAAGCTCCCCAGTCTACATCTTTTTGTGAAAGCAGCTTGAGCTAAGAATATATTTGGCAATTCGTGGAACATTCTGGAAGGGTAAATAAGTAATTAAGAATATTGGTTGCTTCCCATATGATAAGGAGAAGGTCTAGAAACCTTGGAATCAGGAGTGGGAGGAAGACCTGTTTTTAGACTAAACAAGACCTACTTATTTACAATGAAAAGCTTTATTTGAATATGTAAAAAAAATGCATGCATAATGGTTTCAGTAATAAATGTCACTATTAAAATGTTAAGTGTCTGCCTCACAAGTCTCATCCAAACACCAGTTCCAAAGCCCCTGCTGCTCACTAATCTCAGTCATCTTTCTGGGGTTTATTAAGTAATCTGTGATACATCTCTAATATCCCCTTAACATGTTTGCTACACCAGTGCCAGGTCCTGCCCGAGGGGGCTGTGGGCCTATCCCAACCAGAACAGACCTCATGTGAGAGCTCCGGGTGAGAACAAGAATCCAGTGCTTGTTTACTAGGTGACATCTTAATACGGTCCAAAATAAAGCGAGACTCACCAGTAGAACCTGTTGGGGACAACCCCTTCCTGGATAAGCTGCCACCTTCTCCCAAACTCAGCGGAGCTGTATAACTGCAGAGAAAAGAAATTACTTAGCACCACTGAATACACAAACATCAGTTCATCAGAACAGTAACAGTAATAAGAGCACCTACCATTTATTAAGCACCTGCCACAGACCAGGTGAATGCTCCACATATCACCTCTACTCCCCCCATACATTCTGCAAGGCAGATATTAATATCCCCGTTTTACAGGAGAGGAAACTGAGGCTCAGGAAGATTAAGTGACCTGCTGGAAATCGCATGCCCTCTAAATAGTAGAGTAGACTGAGATTCATACCCCATTTTGCCTGGAGAAAAACTCGCCCAAACCACTTGACCCAGCATATGCGGATCACTGCCTGTGTGGGATACATAGAAGTGCAAAGTCTAGTCCTGGCTCTCAAAGAGCAGATGATGCAACCTGACTCTGACTACAATCATGAGAGATGCATTAGCAGCTGGTGATAAAAGGATGCCGAGGAAGGAGGCTCAGCAGCCAATCAGGGACGCTTTTCAGACCTTGTAGAGATTCCCTTGGGATCAGAAGGAATGGCTGCATTCAAACTGACAACTATAGGACAAACATTACTCACAAAGGGGACAACATAGGACAAAGAGGTGAGATATGCAGGGACAAGATATGAATAAGCCTGGCTTATCCAGATATGTTTGGATGAAAATGTTGAGGGCAACTTGGAAAAGGCTTTGAATGGTAAGTTAGGGAGACCAGAACATATCCTGCAGGCAAGAGAGGCCAATGTTTGTCTTCATAAGAGTAACCAGAAGAACTTCAGGCTGCAACAGCAGCCCGCATTGACTAAGTTCTTACTTAGTCATCCAAATGCTTCTCGTGTACTATTTCATTTAGTCCATACCCCATCCCTGTGATATATGAAGTTATTTTGACCATTTTACAGATGGTTATATAGCCGGTAATGGTTCAAGTCCATGTGCACCACTGTGTAAGCACTCTCCAAGGGCAACTGCATAGAAACACTGCTCAGGAGACAGGGTCTAACCCTCCACTGTTCCATCCCTCCTAATGTCTTTCTTCTCCTACCTCCTGTTGTTCCTTGCTCACATGACACCCCTGCTCCTCTCCGATATTCTTTGCAGCACCATGGAACCCTTTTGTGCCTCTGCAAGTATCCTCTGATGGTAGCCCAGAGATTCCTAATGCTGTAGGCATCCTGGTTTCCATTGGTCTCTTGGCTGCTGTCTTGAAAAATATCATTTGGAACATCGTCTTTCTGCTATATGCCTGGTCTGTAACCCACTCACAAACTCCAAACTCCCACCACTGCATTTGCCAAATCCCAGAGTGAATGAATAGTGAGTCACTGTACCGAGGACCCTGCTAGCCCCGCCTTGTCCTCCTGCCCCAGCCCCAGCACTCAACAAAGAGTCAAATGACTCACCAAGTGACTCACCAGGGCTGCAGATGCGCCCGGCATGTCCAAGGAACAAGGCAGCTCTAGTGAGTAAGCACTGACCCTTGAAAAAGCTTCCTACACCATTGTGTCCATTGGATCAAAACACATCCTACAGCCAAAAAAAGCGGAGATATCTGGCTACTAAAGCAAGCGGTTCGATTGGCTCCAACTACACAGCACTTGGAACCCAGCCAAGGAGAATCTGTGGCTTCTTTCTTTCAAGTCTTATTATTCTTTTCTGCCCCATTATGTCTGGGGAAGAAAGTTTTCCTGGGCACATTTCATGCCTGATTCATTTTAAGAGTGTGAAGGAGAGAAGCAGACACAGCTCCCCTCATAGAAATAACAGAGGAGGGCACCGTTCACTCTTAATTCAAACCCAAGTAGCCAGAGGACCCAGGTCCTGCGCTGTAATCCCAGCAAGTCCTGAACACCTTGCACGTTAACATGCAGACTGCTAGGTCAACAGCAAGCACCTGATCTGGGACTTCTGCTGCTCCTTCTCCCCTTACTCTTATCTTTTTTAAAACCCAGAACTGCTCTGCATGAGTTTAAAGAGAACATAGCGCACACCATTGTGTATGCCTCTGTCTATATATAAATATATATTAATATTTATATTTCTATACAAAGATTTATGCCAGTGTCACAGCATCAGGGTGATTTAAAATAATAATTCCGTGTGAAGGCTGATTCACATATATGCTGAAGATCATACATAAACTCTGAGAAATCAGATGGCTACACCAAGTGATTGCTATCCAGGCTCCCACACGGAATTCATTTCCATGAGGAATTGCCAGATGCCAGCATCTGTATGTGTGTATTTCTTTCCCTTCTATGTCTTTTTAAATTGATCCCCCAGGCTTGGATTCAAACCCAGGGACCAGTCAGGTATGTCCCATAAAATTTGTTTTTATCTTCTTCCAGGGGCTGCTGTGTTATTTGTGAGCATCCGGAGGCCCCTCAAGCAGTGAATATACCGAGTAACCCAGTAAGCCAAGCTTCTCTTAGGCAGCTCAGTAACATCCTTTTCGGGTTCTTCTCTCACAAGATACCCTCTGCCTTGTCTCCTTCCCATCCACACCTGAGCATATCCCCGCTGCCATGCCTCCATTCAGGCTGCCCACTCTGGCAGGGGTGGCTTCCGGATGTGCCTACCTCAGTGACTGCCAGTGGTCTGTTTAGGCCCAGATCAAGGTCACCTTCTCCGTGAAGCCTCTCCTACACACTGAAATCCATAGTGGCCTCATGTCCAAAGAACTATGGTATAGTAACAAATGTCATAAAACTACATGGCACATGTTTATATTTAATTTTCTTAGTAGCCTTTCAAGAGAGTCTTCTATGAATGCAAGGCAGAAATTCCTTCCTATGTAGAAATCACCCTAAACTATCTGAGACCGCACCCACGTCTTTGATGGGAGGTCACAAAGCTTTTATGTCAGGAATCCCATCCCTCTTGACCTGCTCAGTGCCTAGTACATAGATGATCACAGGGCAAAAGTATCAATTGAGCACCATGCAAATCTCTTAGTGATGATTCTACCAAGTAAAGTACTCAGATTTGCTTCCATGGATTCATAGTTAGAGGGCTATACTTACACAAGTCAACAAACAAAACTATAAATATCAGCACTTTTGAAACTCCCAAGGATTTGCAGCAAGCAGCTCTTGTATATTCATTCATCCCCTACACAAAGCTGCTCTGTGTCCTCCACATACCACTTCACAGATTTGCCCCCTGAGAAGTTAATAGTCCAGCCTGGTGTTCTACCAAGAAAAGGAAAAAAAAGGCTCGAGCCATTCAAAAGTTAATGTGTTAATTAAACCTGCAGAGTCTGACAGAAAAGTTCTCCACAGAGAAGGGAATGAAATCAAAGACTTTTACCAATGACTCTCTGGGCAGTAGTAGAAGGCTTTGGTTAGAACGACTCAATGTCCTTCAATAAAATTAATGGAGTCACCCTAGCTCTTTTGGCTCCGTGGATAGAGCATCAGCCCACAGACTGAAGGGTCCTGGGTTTGATTCTGGTCAAAGGGCATGTACCTTGGTTCGGGCTCAATCCCTGGCACAAGACGGGGCTTGTGTGGGACGCAACCAATTATGTGTCTCTCTCACATGGATGTTTCTCTCTCTGTCTCTCTCCTCCCTTCCACTCTCTCTAAAAATCAATGGGAAAATATCCTGGTGTGAGGATTAACAACAACAACAAATTTCATGGAGTCATCAGCACCTACATAAGATTTCCATCCCTCCCTGTATGTCTTGGGCTCCACAGCTCTGAGGACTGTCAGAACACAGAACTGAGAACTACCATCAGGACTACCATCAATGTCTGTTGCATCAACAGCAGCAGCAACTGCATTTTCCAGCAATGCTGAGCCTGCAGAGGACCTCAGAGAGGACAACGGGGCATCTGAACCATTTTAGAAGAGCAATTTTCACCTACTAAGCTTTGGTCATGAACAGCAGAATGTGATTCGTGAAAGGGGTGGTGTTTTGTTTTGCTAATAACCCTGGTACAAAATAATGAGGAAAAGACTGAAGGAGCAGAAACAGTATAAAGGGAGGGAAGAAGGAACCAAGGCAGAAAATCCTTCCTGCCTAAAATCATTCCAAACTATCTGAGGCCCTTCCTTGCCTTAGTACATAGAACTCATAAGCTCACACCGGAGGCTCAGCTCTGCCCAAGATCCACCAGCAGCCTCAGGGCCTAACCCTCCATTCTGTCCTTATGCTGGGCTGGGGCGGTCAGCTCTTCCCCTCCCTGCTACGCTCCTCTCCTAATGAGGGTTTTCCTTTTTTTGACATTTCTCACATTGGCTTGTTTTCTTGCCACCTATCTTTGTCTGCTATAAGAAGAGAGTAGATAAAAAATACAGTTGATTGCAGAGGATGCTATTGCAAAGGTTAGTTTTTGTGTGTGTTTTTTCTAATATTCTCCCCAGGATATGTTTATTGATTTTTTTTAGAGAGAGGAAGGCGGGGGGGAGAGAGAGACATCATCAATGTGACAACGAAATATCAATTGCCTCCCAGACACACTAAGAACTGGGACTGAACCGCAAACATTTCGTGTATAGGACTACGCTCCAATTAACTTAGTCACCGGGCCGGGGCAAGGTTAGTTTTAAGCTTTTAACCAATTGTTCAGTCATCTCGGGGGCCACACTCAGGAGGCCTGTAGAGCTGCAAGTTGGATGAGGGCCACAGGCCCCAAGGGAGCAGAAAGAGGGATGCCACAGGGGACACACCGCATAGCTTGGGGGCTGGGAAAGAGTGAGACTCGTCGGCTTTGCTCAGGATTTCTAACCTACAGCAGATTAAGATGGGGCGAGAGAAGGGGGTATGATAGTTCCTCTTAGCATCTTTCTTTGAAGAGAAATTCAACTTCCTTATGTTGATACGAAAGCTTGCCATTGCCACAATCTTCCGGCTGGAACGTCTTCTCAATGTCCCTAAGCTGCATCAGTACAGCCCCTCCTTTCAGACTGTTAGGAACTCATTAGACACTTTCTTTTGCAGCTAGAAAATTGGTCCAAGGACACAACTGCATAGGAGGGAAGAACGGCAACGCCTTTGGTTGATGGG